TATGAGGAGAGGTTAGCTGAGCTGAATCTGTTTAGTCTTGAGCAAAGGAGACTAAGGGGGGACATGATCCAGGTATATAAGATTCTAACGGATCTGAATGCTGTTCAGCCAAATGATTATTTCAATATTAGTTTAAATACTAGAACTCGTGGCCATAGGTGGAAATTAGAGGGAGAACATTTTAAAACAAATTTGAGGAAGCACTTCTTTACACAGCGTGTAGTTAGAGTATGGAATAGTCTTCCTGTTAGTGTAGCGGAAGCTAAATCCCTGGGTTCCTTTAAATCAGAGCTAGATAAGATTTTAACAACTCTGAGCTATTAGTTAAGTTCTCCCCAAATGAGCTTGATGGGCCGAATGGCCCCCTTTCGTTTGTAAATTTACAGTATGTTCTTATGTTCTAATGACCAATCTTTTTTACTGTTGCCATTTCTTAAGGGAAGTGACTGTACACATGATTGAACGACCCAGAACACAAGTTCCTGGGATGAATGTTTCATGTCCAGCAGGGCTTCATGGTTGTTGTGGTCTTACATATTGGTCCAGGTCCCACTCATCAGCTAAAGTAAAGATAACATAACAGAACAAAGTTCGTGGCTATATATTCAGAGGCGGAGGTTTACGTCCTCCTAATTTTCAGTGAAATTATATGCTTGTTGCCTGAGATGAAGTAGTCCTGTCTCCATTAAGTATTTACTGGAATTTATGTACAGGATGGAAAATGGCATTAAGGAAGCAGGCAGGAACTTATTTCTTTTACAACAAAATGCTTTCATATTTGTCTTCATGCAGAATTGGGAACTGATATTTCGTTACCCTGAGTTCCAGTGCGAAAACTATACTCAAATATCAGCCAGGGTGTGGTGACCCAGTGAAAGATCTTGAGAGGTAACTGACCCAGATTCCAGGACCTCCAAATCTGGACTCCTCCACCACACCCCTGCAGCAGGATCCATGAAAACAGTCACATGCCAGAACCGTTTATACCATCACATCGCTTTCTGCGGTCCCAGGATTTTTCTAAGCTGTTCCTGACTGACCAGTTGACTCCACAATTATGCACAATAAATATAATCTAATGCATATGACTCAGCTAATGTATGCATCATTAAGACTTCTATGAAATTGGTTTATATTAATTAATACAAAACGCAGTCAAAGGCTAGGTTGTAAAATCACTTGAGTAAAGAAAATGTGCAGCCTCATGAATTACAGTAGTATTCTATTATGCATAAGAAAAGACAGCTGCTATATATGGTTATTAAAAACTCAGAAGACCCACATTTTCATTATTCAGAGGTAAAATTCATTGGGCTTTTATGAACAGAATCTAGCAGCATTTAATCCCATTAAATGTCGTCAGCAGAGTGGGTACTTCAGGAAAATCAGATCGAATTTAGGATTTTTAGTTGATCAAATAAATAAACAAATAAACAATTAACAAGCGTGCAAACAAACAAAACAAATATGGAGTAACAAAGTGTGTGAACTCCCTCTAGTGGCAAGCTACTAATACAGAATATGCAACATGTATGTATATTAATCCTATTGCATATATTTTTCGATGATTATGTTCTTCCTAATCCAGTCACATTCTGCAGCAGCTGCATGTAATTATAATTCATTAGTTCATAACGCCATCAAAGGGCTGCCTTGATCCCAGTTTAAATAGAACAAACTGATCTCTTCTAATTTCATGCAAAACTGTGATAACTTGATTTGTTCCTAGGTTTATCTAATTTAAAATATTTAAGCACAAAACTAAGATGTGTTTTTTGACTACAGTAGGCCTATTTCTCAATGCTGGTCTTAGCAAACCAGTATGTCCACTTTATTCCACCTGAACTCCTAATTCAATACCTAAAGCAATGGGCTAATCACATGTAAGAACTTCAATTTCCTTTCATTTATATAGTCAAACTAATGAAATGTCAACAAAACAGAAAGACCAGTATTTTGTAATTCATTATAATTGGATTTATAAGTAAATTTCTGTTCAGGAGATATTGAGTAATCATTCATTAAAAAAATTAACATTATTTTAATAGGCAACACCAAGGTCATTTAGAAACAGGTCGTCATTTTTACGTAACAGTGATTAGTAGGAAGAGGGTGTCTGGAGAATCAAAGCGAATCTTCTATCATGAATTTAGCAGTGCAGGACATTCCATAAACCATGAGTATATTATCTAAACTGGTGTTATTGTCTCACTATTATTCCTTTAGCATATTCTTTCTCCTGTGACATAACTAGAAGTGAACCATGGAAGGTTGTGTACATGGGTGGTTCTACCTCATCAGTAGCCCTAGCAAAGCGTTCCTTGGGAAGCCCTCCAACCAAGAAAATGAATATCTCCCTTCCTCTGCAACACAGGCAATGGCCTGTTCTCCTTGACTGTAGCTAGAGCCGGCCCTGGTTGCACGTCCCCAGCATGCACCTGCATTAAAGCTAAGAAGTCAGCTATGTCTCCCTCTGCTGTTCTGAACACTTCCCAGACAGAATATTGACTACCCTAAAAAAAATACTCTCCCCACCCCCCAGTGAAATATTCAAAAGTTCAAGAAAACTAAACACATGCACCTACCTCATGGTTTTTATTTGGTAATTACAGAAAGTGGTACTTGGAATTGTGATGTTGCTGGGTTGAATTTCTAGATAAGGGGACCAGAAAAAAAGCAAAAGAGGAACCAAAGCCCTTTATCTGAGCATGATTTTCACTACATGTTGTAATGAAAGGAAAACTTTCGCCCCCACTCTCAGCCAGAATAATGGTATTTAAACACTTACAGCAAAAGAAAATGAATGATATGAACACTGACATATCATATTCAATATTAACTTAACCAATAGCCATGGCCTTTGCAAAAACCCACTCCTTAAATGAAAACATGTTTTATAAAAACAAGTTTTTTTTTTTTTAATTATTTATTCATAAACTTGATGCAAGTTTACAAATTACTGTACATGGTCAAAATTATGCAATTGCAATGGAAAAGAAATAAATGAAAGCATGCCAACAGTGCATAATTTGATAACCTGCCCAACAACAGACGGAGCCAAGGGAAGTACACGGTTTGTCAAGATTTAGAATTCTTTTTTTAAAAATAAAAAGAACAAACAAAAAAAAAATGGGGGATAAACTCAGCTCACAGCCTTCCAGAATTTGAACACTGAGAATTCTAGTCTTTTTAACACGGTGAAGAAGTACAGCAAAAGCCAAAGGGATTACAAGCTGAACAGAAACTCAAACAATAGGAGTAGTGGAAATTACTCTTGAATTTAACACCACAGACAGATGAGTTATAAGCTGATATCTGCCCCATGTCAGTATAGCCAATAAGGGCCATAATTGAATGAAAACATTTCAGAAAGGCTGTGTACCAACATAAAGACAACTAGTCTGTTCATTAGAGCCAATGCTTCTGTACCTCCCAACAAATACGGTTTCCCAAATGTCAGCCATGACAGCCAGACATACTTTCTTAGGCAAGGCTCTCTAGAAACTTTTTTTTCTTGTGCAAGTAACGTACATGGAATTTGCTATCCTCATGCCCCACGCCACCAGCTTTCAGTGAATAAAACACAGTCATGCTTCTTATCATACAGGACCATCTACACCTGATTGCAACTGTCACAAACTTTAATACAAACTGTCTTTGAGACGGTCAACAAATTCAAACGCCTGATTTCTCAGTGCTCACATCTGTACAGCTGCATAACAGCATAGTGTAAACTGAAATGAAAACATCTGTGCAGCCTTCACAAGTCTAGTTTGTATTCCTGAGTACAGACAGGTCAGAACCACGTGTCCAGAGCACTAGGCGTTTTCAAAAACAGGTCTGGTACAGCAGACACAGCAAGCACTGGCTGTACTGTCACCTGGTGCAGTGGTCTTACTTTAAATGAAAAGGTAAAAGCAATTAAAACAAATAAAGAACACAGAACTTCAACCATCATGGAGAAGCTCTCCTGTCAGTATAAGTGGGTCAAGGAAAGCTTAAATGCAGTTTGCTTTAGAAACAGACAAAAGTTGTAGAAGCAGTCACACAAATGACTGTTTTGGAGATGAAGACGGTGGAGGCTTGTACAATGGAACTCCCCACTGCAACCACAGCCACCAAAGTGTATGTCTGGATTTGGTTTAGAAGTAAGACTGACAATATGGCAGCATACACACAAAAAAAAAAAAACACGAAAGATGTACTTTCATACAAAACGGTTAACACTAGATTTATACAGGTACTGTTCTAGTGCCAACATAAAATCAAAATAGCATGGGAGTAAGTTGTCTGTTTGTCTCTCTCTCTCTCTCTCTCTCACACACACACACACACACACACACACACACACACACACACACATACAGAACATAGGTTAAACTGACCCACCATGACAGGCATCACCATGTCAAAATGCACACATCCACCCCAACTTAAAACTATTCAGCAGCAACTCATGTCTTCAGAGTTGAGCAAGAAATTCAGCTTCTTCTGCAGTCAGCAGGAAGCCAAAAACTTTAGCGAGATCACATGGAGTGTCAGGGGCTGGCGTTTCCTTGTCCATTATAAGGCAAGAGGAAACTTTCTGCCTTCACTGTGAAGCCAGAGTGAAGGAATTTTACCCGAATCTGGATCTTAATGTCATGCAAGGGTTGCACAAACACTATGCAATTCACGCCGGCCATTTCCAGAGCCTTCCACACATGTGAAAACAGTGGTGAAAGAAGCCAACCAGGTGGAGGAGGATGATCCATGTGGTAGTGTGCAGTTGGGACTTGCAGCTGGATAGACTGGGTCTATGTTGTAGCAGGTTCTGTTCAACATTACGTGCATAAAAGCTTCTTACTGGTAAACCTGTATAGATGACCTGTCTCTGCATAGATACACCCATGGTAAGTTTCATGCCATACTGGGATGTAACAGCCCGGATTATGGCTATTTTTGTTTTCTCTTTTTAAAGACTGCAACAGCACTCGATCGAAGTTGATGGAACATGAAAGTTATTACTCTTGTATTTTACTGATATAGAAGCAAAGCCACTCTAATGACACAGTTCAGCAACTAAATGCAATCCTTAATGAAAATGAGTAAGGAGTAAGTTTTTCCTTACTACTCCAGTACAGGTATTCACTGTTTCCCCCCTCCCCCCACATTATTGTACATGTAAAATAAGAGTTTGCCACACCTCCTATTCCATAGTGTACATAAGCAGACATAGGTTTCAAACACATATACAGTCAAATTAAAAAGGCCAAGCCCTATTCTCAGTCCAACACCATCACCATTTTCTGTTTGGGGTTAACTATGCGGCATCCGGCCTGCTGGCAGAGGCTGGGGGATGTTCTTGTTGCGTACATCTCTGCTCGCCTCACGATCCAGCCGTAAGCTTCTGCAGTATATTGTTTCTTCATAGTTCTTGTCATGTGAAAAAAGCAACAAGAGATGGGACAGAAACAGTGGCACACATTTGTTAAATGAAGAGTATATGGTCAGGCTCCCACTGCCACCAAGACTTGCACCGAGATGCCAGCTATGGCCAATAGCTGTCTCAGTAATGGAGAGAGGCTGCACATCATGGTCAAAAGTCATGGCTGACTATCGCTAGGCAGACTCTACCCAGAGCTGTCCAGAAAGGCTGGGCCACCAGAGAATGGACATGATGGCTGAACCAAAAGGTCAAAGCATGCCTCGATATGTGACCTGCTGCTCATCTCATTGGAGTTGCCCTAGATTGCCACAAACTGTTCCCTCCGTTTCAACACAGAAAACGGTACTGTGCTGCATGCAATCTGGCAAGAGGAAGTAAGAACGCGACCCCCCCCCCCCAAGGGACCATTTTCAGTGACACTTGACCCTTGACAATCCTTTCAACCCCAGCACTCTTCCTCCTTAAGATTCTGTTGATCTGTGTGAGAAAGAATGGCTGAAGGAGTCTTAGTGCCACGGCAATGAGAAAGGAACACAGAGTGGCAGGAAGATGTGCCTTCAGAGAGGTCAGCGATGTATTTTTACCCGTTGGTCTACATATCTCACTGAATGGGTCACCACCCATGTCAGGGTCACACTCCTGATAAAAAGAATTCCAGACTGGGGGGGGGAATATATAATCCAAAAATGAAAAGATTAAAAACAAAAGTGACCCTAAGACACTTGGTCCCAGTGCACAGATAGTGGATCTTCTCCTATCCATCCTCTTTAGGGGGTGTGTACCAGCCTGCAAGAGACACAATCAAGCACAGCTTTACAGGGGAGAATATCCAGACATGGTCATCAAATATCAATGGGTAGGTATCTTCTCTACGGACTGTACAAAACAGAAGAAGCTATAACACAAATTGAAGAGATCTAAAGGCATTTCAGAGTCTTTGCTATGCTATCTGAAGCCAGTCTTGTACCATTAACCTTAACTCTAACCGAATTACTCAATATTGATCTACAGATTTATCGTACGACGGGCATACTCAAAAACCTACCATTCTTTTCGTGAATCTGTACTAGGGACTTGTATGACTGCTGTGCTCTAGCAAGATTATACTGGTTCTGCAGGGGAAACGAAGAGCCAGTTAAAGATACAGATTTCAATCAAACAACCGATCAAAATACTTTATTGATCCCTAATCCCAACATGTTAAAATACCAATACTAGATAATACAAGATATTACAAATATTACAATATCTCTGATAATGTAATAACTCAATATATAAATATTCTAATATATTACAGAAATGAACTAAAGGTAAAATTGAATATTTAAGTTTAACTGGCCATTCTCAAGCACATGGGATAAAACGGTTGTCTCAAAACTTACATGTAGGAAATGCCATTTTACTTTATTACATTTTGCGAAACCTGTTGCAAAAACTTTCTTTGCCACATACAAAAATATTTCCCAAAGAATTGTGTCCATTATCATAGCCGGATATTTCAAGACTATACACAGTCAAACTGACAATCAAGGTCAGTTTATATTGTGCACCTGCTTGTAAACACAAACAGCCTTCTCCAATCAGCAAACCAAGTAGCTACAACTGAATACATTCAGCGCCCTGGCAGGGTCAAGAGTTTTAGTTACTGATTAGCTAAGCATTAAAATGGCTAAGATGCATGCTCTAAGCCAGTGGTCACCAACTGGTCAACTCTAGACCACATCTAGGCCAAGACAAAATTGAACCTGAACCTGAATTTGTTTGTTGCAATGCATCTGCCCTCTACTGGTCTGACGAAATATCTTTGCTGTAGGCATGCGTTGACCACGAAAGACAAATGTAGCATGCAGATAATGCGTGCAACCATGCACACAGTAACGGCATGCCAAAATTAGGTGGCAATGTCATTATACATAATTTACACAGCAAACCGCAGAAACGCTACAATCAATGTCAAAATTTGTCGTCAACTATTATTACTATCAATGTTATTGATTAGTTGTTGCAGTCCTAAGCAAAACTCTTCCACTTCACCAATCCCCATGTCACTTGGATCTGTGTTCTGTCCCAGAGGAAGCTTATCTTACAATGGCAATAAATACATTTCATTGAGCAGTATGTGTAATGTGTCGCATACTAGCTCAAAACATAATAGTGCTGGAGCAATAGAATCCCAAAGCGTTCCCGTTAACCTTTCCCATAATCCCAAATGTCTATTTAGGTGCTTCCGTCTGAAGAACATGTTTAGCTCATCTGCATAAACATTCTGTGTGCTGCCACATTCTGCCATTTTACAGACTGCTGACATCTCTCAGGGTTGACAAGAAAGATGTATAATAATGAGCAGTAGGTAGCACACGTTAAGGAAATGCAGGTGTAACCAGAAGGTTGCCAGAAAGAGGTCCTTACCAAGGTCCCAGGAAAGATTCTAGCTGTGACAAAAAATTAATGGGTGCTTAATTAGCGTGCAGTTAGCTTGCAGCGCTATGGGACTACCCCTGTACTCAAATCATTTTTACCTTATTGGCGCCAAACTGCACTCTGGCTTTTCCTTTGACTAAGGTGGCGTTGATCTGCATAATCACAGACTCTATAGAATAGGCACTACTCCAGCCCTATAAATTAAAATGAAAAACATGTTACAACAACTACAGTATGCATATATACCAACTGACAGGAAACTGGGGAGCAAAGACCTACCTGCTTTGTGAGAAGCTCCATACACAAGGCACCTCCACCAAGAACATAACTGTAAAGACATACCATGTGGATATTTTAAAAAGAGTATGATATATACTTCTTACATTACTGAAAATAGACTGAAGCCTGAAGCATCACCAAAACAACTTCTGAAGTTATTTTAGAAACATTCCTATTCCATCTAGTGACTATTAATCCATTTAATCCCAAATCTTTCCCTGCAATGATAGTGCATGAATTTCCCTCCTTAGGCCTACCCAACACACAAACTATATGTCTTTTCTAATTTTATTTTGGAAAAGAAAAAATGTGTTTTATTTTTGGTCACAGTAATGACCAAGGGGAAACAGCAGTTTCAGAATTTGCATATGTTCTCCAATTAGACTCAATTACAGAGGATCCCGGTTGTTTTGATCTTTATAAAAAGCCTATTTTTATTTTTTATGTTTTTCAAGTTGAGACTTGTGTTTTGGTTCTCTGGGGGTTTAGAGTTTTCCTGTTCAACATCATTTTCTTCTTTTTGTTGAACATCCTTGTAGGAGACCAACCAAGATCAGGCAGTTTCTGGAGAGACTTGTCCACCTGCTTTACCTCTGCTGCAGAGGTAGACGGGGAGCACATCAACTGCTTTTCACCAATATTATCGTCTTCCCCATCCTTAAGAGTATTTGCTGCTACACATCCATATAGTAATCAAGTGGGCAAGTGCCCCCTTTCACCGGGGAACTCCATATCTGAGCTCTCACTATGACAGTCACTGTCAGTGGCTTCTTCAGGGACTGTTTCGATACCAATATTGCACACAAGCCTCTAGAACAGTTTCTCGACCAGTCGGCTGTGACACACCGCTGAAATGTGCGGCTCTGGATGCTGAGTTACAAATCAGGGACATATATGGTAAATAATAAGAAAATTATCCACTAAAAAAATGTAACACTTACCCTCCAGACAGAACAGGAGATACCACCCTTACAAAAGGGGGATCAAAGGGGAAATTATCCTGAAAATTGCAAACAAATGCGTAAATTATACAAATACTCTTCACTTAACACGCAATACTGGAAAATACTATTTTAATGAATACTGAGCAGGAAAAATAAGCAGACTCACTTTATACGAGAAATTCAGCAGAATGTAATCCACGCCTTCTTTTTCCTTTAAAACTTGCAAGTCACTATGTAATGGACTATCTGGGTCAACCCTGTTGTTACAGAACAAGACGGATTACAGATGGTTTTCATAACCACTAAACTATGTCTTCTCATACATAAACAGCAAATGATCAGTATACAGGTTTGTGTACTTCTATCAATTGAGTCTTCAAATTCAGCCACCTTTTGAACCCCTTACCCCACACAGTCAATTGTGATGCCGGCTGGCACTTACGTCCGCAACTTCACATGCCACTCATAAAGGCTGTCATTGACAAGCTCCACTGAATAGATGCCTGTAAAAGGAAAAATCCTTTAATATCCCAAAGGTTTCACTACTTTGGGCTCACCTTTAAATTATTCATAATTCTTTCAACAACAAAGGAAATGCATTCAATCTCATAAAACACAAGCCATGTCAACACAAAGCCCGACGTGTTCTGTGCTCACCTGTCTTGTAACTCTGTGACCTATAGATTTCCCTGAGTTCCTTCATGAGGCGGTCAGAGGCCTGTACTGACCCAGAGACTGCCCCCTGGAAGACAGCAGGCACCAAAATGTCAGCATGCAAAGCCTAAGCAGCCCATTTTAAGCCAGTAATAGCCGGCTCTCTGAATGTAACCACCAGGACCAGCAACATTGAAGCTATACTCAAAACATGTCAATTTCAATGAATCCCTTACTCAAGGGAATCCACAGTAGTACACCGATTTCCTCAAACAGCGCTGATGTTCCCTTTTTTGGTGAAACCTGCAGGAGAAGGCAGTGTTAAGGAGAACACCTGTGGTCAACAGGCTAACAAAACTAATTTTGGGGACCAAGAACCAACAAAATGCTTCTCCGCTCTGCAAGAACAGCCATGCAGGCCAAATCACCCCCACAAGACAGGGATATATTGCCACCTACACAGCTTCTAAAACACTGAATCGTACAACTAGCCCAGCCATAGCTTCCTGTAACAATAAGGTTTTAAGGCACAGGTGCACTCCCTGATTCAACCAACTGGAAAATGATAGCAGAAAGTGTTTAACCAGTCAGTAACTGAAAGCAGAATCACCCCAACCACTGTGGTTTTCAGAGCTTCATTTTTCCCATCCATTCTATGTAACCACTCTTCCCACGTATCATGCTCTTGTCAGAGGGCCCTTAAGCAGGGCTCTTAACCTCAATTGCTCCAGGGACTTTCCAAGCCTGTTTTCTCAACTGAATGTCAGTTTGGATAAAAGTGTCGGCTAAAAAACATCAGCATGCTAGCATGTAATATCAGCAGAATGAAAATGAGAAAAGTCCCTTTAAAATAAAAGAGGTGAAAAAGGTTCAACAATCACATTCGTGTTCCATAATTTGATGAAAACAGACAGGTATACATCCATTCATTACAGGATCACAGAAAATTCTGTGATTTATTTTTTAACTTTACATTGAACCACATAGCTGATGTCGCTCTCCACACAAAATCACACAATTCTCCTCCTTTACACATATTGTTTTAACTGCAATAATGCAACTTAAGTACATTATTGTCAAGGGTGCTCCAGCTGGAGAGTCCCTACTGGAACCTGAATCGAAAACCTTCACACCTTCAACCAATATGTTGGCTGTTGCACAGAGGCTTACGTTTGAACAGGACAGTTATGAACACTCACATACCAGAAGGCATCAAGGCAAAAGCATTTTTAATTAATGTCCAAAAATACTTGATTTTACCTCCAACCAAGGCACTTTCTCCAAAGCAAATGACATCACATTGTAACATCTAAGACGTTATGGTAGAAATGTATGTGTCAAAATCAAACGGGATTTGACCATAAGCATCCATAATCAATATACAGCAAGGACCATTCAGCAAACATGTTCACAGAAAAGCACCCAGTTCCCCCGAATGTAGGAAAAGTCATCTTACCGAATGGGCACTTACTTTCAAGTGGTCCTGTCGCTGGTTCTTGCGGATTTTCTCCAAGATCGCCAAGTTCTCCTTCTCAATCCCATCATCCTCAGACTTTTTCCCCTCTACAGGTTCCTCCTCTTTCATCTCGTAGTGGTCCAGGTCTTCAATATCCTGCTACCAGACCACACATGCACCAATAGGTATGCAAGAACACCCTAAGTATACAAGAGGTGACCTTAATACAATTTTAAAAGATACAAACCTCTACCATTTCATCTTCATCCTCCTCCTCAGATGTAACTTCATCTGTAGTTACAGGCTAGAAAGAGCAATGCAACATACAAAAAAAAAAATACTAGTTACAAAACAATTTTAAATTAATCATACCGTTATAGGAATAGAAAAATAAATAAAAATAAATTTAAAAATCAACAGGATCTACCAAGTATAATGAACAGTATACTCAACTCTGCCAAAAATACCCACCAACATGTTTTCCAACAAGCTTACATTAGCTTTTATTTCCTGCCCAGAGAGCAAGATGTCTCTTGGGCTGGAACTGTTCACATTGAAGCTTCTGATTTATATGCAAAATATGCACAAAAGTTATACAGGCAGTCAATGAGTTAAGAACGTTCTACTTACGGACAACTTGTACTTACAGACTGCCATAAAGCCTAATATATTAAAAATTCAGGTTAAATACAATGACTTATAATAATGAATGCATGCTCATTGTGCGGCTGCAGCAGTTCATCGGCTCGAGATACAGTACAGTACCCTATTTGCTTTATTACTGTATAACAATACTTATGTACTGTATTATTTTTTGTTCTGACTACCTACACATTCTACTTAAAGACAGACTTAGGGAACAAATCTTGTGCCTGTTCCTTAATAGTTTTTTAAACTACTAAAAATGGCTAATAGTGAGATCACAAGTGCCACTCCTTCACCCAAGCAAATTTAACTTGCTCATGTTGTGCTTCACCAAACATGCCTTGAGTAGTCAAACTGTTATACTAATGAAACTTTAGATGACAGCTTGACAGGATTGTCACAATCCTGACATCCTTATCTGGCATTTGCTTACCGGCCCCGCAGGTAGGGGCTGGTCCAACATCTCCACATCGGGGTGCTGGGGCAGGTTGTACAGCCGGCACAGATCACAGATGAGACGTTTCAGCTGCTGCAGGAGCTGGAAGCAGAGATATAAATCAGCAACGCTACCAGAGCTCTTCAGGGCAGTGGGGGGATATGAACCCCTTCAGGGCCCTTCAGCGACGAGTGGGTAGGTGGTAAACAAAGGCCTTGTTACATAAAACAGGAAAAATAAAAGGGAGGATTTTACTCAGCTATGTTACCTTTTATGCTGCCTAGACCACAACATTCCATTTAAATACACAACCAAGAAATCCAAAATTAAAGTCATTTGAGACCTCACATTCAAACATTCTACTTTGTGTATAGTAGTTTTTAACATTATCAAACCTAACATGAGAACAGACAAAGGCAATATCACTTGTTTTTAAGGTGATAAAAATTCTTAACAGATAGGTTTACACGATCAAAAAATAATAATTATTAAAAACAGAGACCATTAGTTTGATATGATTCTCTCAATTTTTCAGACTCCAACAGCAGAAACTGACAAAGCCCTGAACACAACATACTAACCTATAAGTTATTGAAAAGTAAACCTGAACTCCACAATTCTGAATTCACAAACAGCAGCAAAACTGTTCTACAAAGAATAATTTTCTGTCAAAGTTCTTCAACATAATACTGTAATATTTCTGTTCCCACTTCAGTAACAAGTCTTTTATATTATGCATGACTTGTGTATGACTACAGACTGGACTAATTTACCTGGGCCTTTCTGGATTTTGATCTCCACTGTCCATTGACTGTGCCAATTCCCTGCCTTACCTCCTCTTTGGATGATAGGCTGCAGACTCTTTCAGTGACTTTTGGATTATTTAGGTGTAGTACCCCACCCCCATTTTTTGTTGAATGGTTGGACTGTTGGTGTGTGTGTGTGTAGGGGGGGTTCTCTTTGTTGTTTTGGCAAGATCCCCATATCAAACTAGCCCAACTATCACAAATAAAACACAGCAAACTACTAATAATAATCTTTGCCAACTGCAAACACAATCTATCATAGCACAAACCAAGAAAACTGCAATACTAATAATCCCAGAGTAAGAATGGTAAATTTAAGATACAATTCAGGAAGCACAGTCTCTCAGTATTTTCTTCAATGAGAGCTCCTTTTTTCCATCATAAATGTTTAGAGGGGTATTGTTAGCGTTTTATTAACAGGCATTCAGCCAAAGCCAATAAGTTTGTAAATATTAGCTGACTTCATTGGCCAAATGATATATTGATTGAGGCCTGCAAGGTGTACAATTAGAAACTAAGTTTATTACACATGGAGGCATTAAGTGTTAAGGGTGGGCAGGTTACTGCTGCTGCACAATTTACGTTTTTGCATAACTAAGCAGTCTTTCATTATGAACTAAAATAGGGCATATTTACATTTATTTAGCAGATGCTTCCAAAGCAAAGTACAACCGAGGTAAGTTTGTGGTCAAAAAGTGGGGTTAGATAGCATCAAGTACCCCTGGAGTGGCTGGAGTTAAAGGCCTTGCTCAAGGGCTCAACTGTGACATGATTATTTTGCTGGCCAAGAGATTTGAACCCAACAACTTCCTGACATGAGCACAGGTCCCAAACCCAGAGAGGTACACAACCACCCAAAAAATCAAAAGCTCATAGCAACCCCAAAAGGGTTGTTCCAGTGCTAAGAGGTCAATAAACTAAAGGCACACTATAGTCAGGGGTAGCAGGGAAAAAAACAGAGTAACAGGGTAGTCAGTCAAGCAGTTCAAAAAAGCTGAATAAACTGTTTGAATAAAAAAGAAAATATGGAATCTAATAAAAACCCTTTCTGGTATCAAAATCTCTAATATTATGTCTCCCAAAAAATTGTTTTACACAAAAGGAGACTGGGTAAATGGTTTTCCTTTAATGAAAATGAATGAATATACAATGAGTAGTGTTTGGAGTAGGTCTACCAGAGATTCAAAGATCAGAGAGAAAAGGGGAGAGGAGCCTGTGATCTTTAACTGATTCATGTGTTCTTCACCCTAGCATGTTTGTCTGGGAGCCAGTCAACCACTGTGACAATTAAAAATTATAGAACATTTACCAGGAAAATTAAACCATCAACAGCACAAATGAACCAAATTAACAATTATTATATTTAAAACATGACATTCATAGATTTAAAGACACTACCCATACAAAAAAACATGCTTTAAATCAACAAACTAAAATGAAAGAAACGATAATGGTAATTAAGACTGGTGTTACCAGTCCCAAATGTGAATGCAAGTCGACGTAAAGCTGTGTCTTTGTGTGTGTGTGTGTGTGTGTGTGTGTGTAGTACATAGCTTCTCTCTCATTATAGACAGATACACACACAGACATTTGTATACACACATGGTTACTGCATACAAAATGAAAGCAGCTGTGTCAGAACCATGGTACGCATACTTTCATACTTTGAACAAAAAGGTGATCATCAAATACATGCACGTAATCTTCTTCAAGAAGCCTTTAAATACTGAAAGAGGCCTAGGAGCTGGTGAATCTGCACTGCAATCCAGTTGAGATACCAGTCCTTACCAGTGTGTTGCCCTTCCGTACATCATCCAGACGCTCCAGAACCTGGGCCAAGCTGGGGTCATCAGAGTCCACAAACCATATCGGGGGTGTTGAAGGGTAGGATTCCTAAGACATAAGAAACTTTTTGGAATCAGCACATACAATACAACACACTAAGTCATACAGAAAGTACAGCACATGTCCCATTACACCATAGCACATATTAAGTAGGCAAGTAGCTTAAAAAAGTGGACAGTATTATTAAACAGTATCTAACTAAAGAACAGGAGCTAATTGGGTGTGGAATGAACTAATAACTGGTTTATAATATCCTTGCTGCTGGTACAACCACTAAAAGATGTCAAGTTTGTGTGCAAAACAAAGGCTCCTATCAGCAAAAACAAATGTAGTTTTACAGTAAAAGTGACTTCTGAACTTATAAATTTATTCTGAATATTCGGTATTTTATTATATTTGTTTCATAAAATTCACTCAATCTGTAGAATATTCATGTAATTTAAGTGCACAACACAGACACCCAAGAGACCGTTAATTCCACTAAAATGCATTTTTAAAAATTACTTTAAAAATAATGGCAATGTCAGTGAAAATGATCATATAATTATACAACTATAACTGAACAAACCTTCCACAAACAGCTTAAAATACAAATTCACAACTGATTATGCAACTAGTAATATTGTGAAATGTTTGGACAACACAATGGGAAACAGTATGACCTGGTGCAGAGAAATACATCAAGTACCACAGCCACAAATACTAGAACTTGTGGCCAAAAGTGGAAATTAGCGGGAGAACATTTAACAACGAATTTGAGGAAGCACTTCTTTACACAACAGGTAGTTAGAGTATGGAATAGTCTTCCTGCTAGTGTAGTGCAAGCTAAAA